ATGAAAACAGCAAGCACAGGTTACTCTTGCGAGAAGCTTGGCTGAAGTGGAGCTGGAAGCGATGCAGGACCCAGAACAGGCTCTATTACTATCAGTAGCAGTGGTGGTGCTGCTGGTGAAGGAAACAGATGGGGCTGCGGTGGTCATATCCTAAGGGCGCCGGGCCTCTAGGACATGTTCTCTAAGACTCAACCAAACATCATCCTTACAACGAGTTGTTCCTGCACCCATTGCGGAGGAGCTGATTTGGATCACAGCCAATTCCTGTTCACAGCACACTCACGGGGAGAGGTAGCCTGTCTGTGGATAACTCCTCACAGGCTTCTCTGCAACGTGAGGTAGATTACATTCATTTGATATTATGAAGGGGTAAGTTGGGTTGAAAAAAGGGGGGAACAGTGAATTGAGAAGGAGGTGGAGAAGAACTTTATCCCCTAAGTTAAGTGAATTCTAGTCCCTTTCTATACATTTACTCTCCCACCAGGCTGAAAGTTCCTTGCCTGCAGATATTAGAGTGTTGTAACCCACAGTACCCACACAATGCCAGGCACCTAGAAGGACCTCAACCAATACTGAATGCAACCTCTACTGTGGCTGGTAGCGATCATGGCTCTAGAGCCAGGTCGTGATGCCCTGATGCTCAGGTTCTGCTTATAAGACGAGATTAGCCCAGTGGGCACCCACGGCTGATGTCTCTACACGCTCACGAGACTAGGATAGGGCAGGGAGGTAAATGTAATTGATACGGTCAGAGACCAGCTCTCCAGGTGGATGACCAACACTGTTTCTGAGCGACGTCAAGGTTATATCCAGGGAAATAGGATAAGGAGACCAAAGAGGGGTTTAAAAGGCAGAATAAAGTAAACTGGCTGAGGATAGTATTTATGAAATCTGAAAACAATGCAGATCAAGGTGGCTATGAAATGTTTGGACTTAAGGTGAACGTGCACGTTATCTTATTTCATTGATTCTCAGGATATCTTTCCCATAATTTAAAATCTCTAAAATTGTGATGCATCTTACGGTTATTGGTACCTTTAACATTGTGTCATAGTTTAATGGGCCAAAGTTTTTCTTTCATTAGTGGCACATAATATGATGGTGACCTAGAATCAATGATGTCTCAGATCTAATGATATTGTGTTTTACTCTAGAAGAGGGTATGGCACTTGTTTTGATCTGCTGCTTTAATAAAAAGCACTCAGCTTTAGCAGTGAGTAAATTCTAGGGCTGTGAAGGACAGGGTATTGTGGACGTCACTCATGCACAGGGTTGCCTAGAGTCGGAGCTGATTCAACAGCATGTAACACAAACAAATTCTAAGTACTATCACAAAAACAGAGTATCTTAAAAGGTACCCCTTCATATATTAAGATACTGAGTAACTATTCCGAGAGAATTTACCTCTCAAAACAGAAACCAGGAAGAACTCTAATTGGCAGGAAGCACTGTGATGCTGTATCTTGAGTAACAACATCCAGGTCCCAAAACTCAGTAATAAAAAGAGCCTGATTATTATCATTTTTTGTTCCATTGTTTCTGTGTTTGTAATTAAATTTGTGCTTTCATTCCAACTCAGTAGAATGCCAATCACTTACCGCAGGGGTTGGGGAAAAGACTTGGAGACACCACCATTTCAAATAACAGAAAAGTTCTAGTTTGCAGTTGGGACATACTAAAAGATGGTTCTGAAGAATAATTTGAGACAGTACTCTTTTACCAGATAAACCCTGTGGTAACTGTGGTATCTGGGGTTTGTATTGCTTTCAGTGTTTACAAGGTCAAATCTAAATTCATATACTGGAAATGTGTTCTATTTTCACCGCCGAGTATGGGATGAAGCGATTTATTTGCTTATTTTTAAATGTGTCTACTGGCCTTTAGAAGCTATTATTTACATAAAGGTACTTTTGAACTTTACAAACATGTTGGATGCTACCTACTGTCCAAATATTTTAAATAAAGTATTAGATATGTGCAAAGCAACAATCTATATCCAAAATAAGAAAATGAAAGATAGAAATCACTGCCAAATGCCTTCCTAAACCACATTTTAAAAATAATCATTTTCACAGATTTGTTTTTATCACACTGAATTAAAATATGTTTTCTTAAAATATTAAAACATATGAATATCTAGATCCATTTTCAGTGCTTTATATAGACTATAGACTATGAAGTACATTTTTGATGGCAATCAATATGTCTACTTTGGGCAGTTATTATAATGGTTATTACAATTCAGTGTCTAACTGTTTTATAAATTGACCTAAGAGACAATTAACAAATGTGAATATTTACCTTCACCTTCTTTGAGATCTACATTCACTTTTCATCTTGGCTTTTCTCATTTTCACCTTGTACCTGATGACTTTACAGGACATATGTTTCTTTCTTCTTTTAATTGGTTTTTGTACTTCCTTTTTCATTCTTTTTTAAAAACAAAATTTTTGTTGCTAAGCAATGTGCATAACATTAGAATATACATTATTACCTTGGACATTGTCTACTTGGCATTATTTTCCTCTATTTCTTTCCTCATTTGGATTGACCTAAACTGTACTTCCTGCTCTCTTGTGCCCATTCTTTTTGCCAAAACACATTCTCCCATCTTCCCGTCCTTTCATCATTACTCAGTAGCTATTGTATTCAATATTTAGCCCCATGTTTTCCTATTCTCCATCGTTTCTGTTAAGCTCTGGTGGACACACTCATATCACGTGACTATTTTTCTTTTTAGTCTACTGTCTTTGTCTTATTTATTTTGTTTGTATTTAAAGATATTAAAAAGACACCTCTTTTATGAAATTTAGGTCACTTCCTATTATTTTCCTTTTTGTCGCTTTTGCTGTTCCAGATGTTGGTCCCTTTCAGTACCATAACAACTGTTATTATTCTCTTCCTCATCTCATTTATTTACTTTAGTGATTATACTATTAACTCTGGTATAATCCCATAAACCATATTACTTACTAAACTTAACTGTGTTCTATTTTTCTGAGCTAATGCATTTAATTTATTTAGCTATGGTAAGCTGCCAAAAAAAAGTTCCCACAAAAAACTAAGCAAAAAAACAAAAAAATGAACACCTCAATTACTTACATACACCAAAACTTTCTTTCATATATATGTCTGAATAAATATTTTTGAAGACCACAAAGAGCACACTTCACCTTTACCAAAACTAATTTGTAGGCTAACTTGCACTGCTGAGCTCATATAGGCTCTCATTTCTCTTACTAGTCTTATAGATAATGATTTCTAAGTAGAGTGTGGACGTGTTTATGATTCAGGATTACCTGATACTCAGCTTGACTCACTCTGGCCATAATCTTATACAGTCTTGCTTTTTGTAATTATAAAAAGAGAAAAGTGATGATTCTTCCCCTCTCTCAAAATAGGGATGTTACAGGAGAATGTTAAGCAAAATTCATCATATCGAAGCCCTCTGGAGCAAAGCTATGCTGTCGGAAACGTCAGACATATGTATGTGTGCACACTTTCATCTTAGTATGTCTTCTCCTCACATCTGGCCTATTAATAATTTTTCAGTTTCCACTTATTCTAAGTTTTGCTAGTATAGCTTTTAAAATATTTATTGTCTGACTCCCTTCTCCTGAACACTGAACTGCTCAGCCAGATGAAGGGCTCAGATTAACTGACCTCATACTCAAAGCTTCTTACCGTATTTCAAATTGATCCTAAACTGATCATTTGCTTCCATTTTTCTTTTCTTTTGAAGATGGTTTATAATAAGTTGAAAAATAATAATGGGAACTAAATAATAAAATGGTAAAAATAAATGTTAATTATTTAAAAGAAAACAAATGATAAAAATATGCCAGGTATATCTGTCTATAATTCAGTTCATTGAGAGGCAGGTAGTTAAGGTACAGGCTTTAGAGTTAGTCGGCTTGGTTACCTTGGCTATTTCACTAAAATGAAAAGTAATATTACTTATGGGGCAGTAGAACATAGTGGTTAAAGATGTGAACTTGAAAATTTATAAAGAAATGCAATGAGTTAAGAACAATCAAGAAAATTCTGAAGAAATTACAAAGCTCTAGGACTTGCGCTACTAGATATCAAAACTTATAAAGCCATATAATTAAGAGACTGTGATTCTGGCACAAAATAAACCAATGCAAAATAACAGAGTCCAGGGAAGAGCTGATGGTACAGTCTCCCAGTCCAAAGGCAGCCTAGAGGCTGAAGTCCTTCCTCCTCAGGGGACCTCAGTCTTTTCCCTGATGGCATTTAACTGGTTAGATGAAGCCCATCCACTTTATAGAGGGTAACCCACTTTACTCAAAGTCTGCTGATTTAAATGTCAATCACATCTTAAAAATATCTTCACAGCAACATCTAGACTTGTGTTTGATCAATAACTGGGTATCGTGGCCTAGCTATGTTCATAAAATTAACCACCACACTTACATTAGGCAAAGATTTCTAAGATTCTTAAAAAGCGTGAATCATAAAAATAATTCATAAATTGGACTTCATCAAAATAAAAAACTTCTGTTTCTAAAAGGAAGTGTTAAAAAAATGAAAATAAAAGTCACAGGCTGGAACCTGTATCTGGAATACGTAAAACTCTTTTACAACTCAGTACTTAAAGAATAAAAATAAAAATATGGGCAAAAGATTGGAACATATACTTCATTACAAGAGATTTGGATAGCAAACAAGGACAAGAAACAATCATTTAAGTCAGTCATTAGGGAAGTACTAATTAAAAGCCCAATGAGATACCATTCACCATACACCTAGTAGAAATGGCTAAAAACAAAAACAAAACTAAAAATTTAACAATACCAAGTGCCGGCAACAATGAGCAGCAACTGGTACTCTCACATTTTGCAAATGAGAATGCAAAATGGATCAGGCACGTCAGAAAAAAATATTTGCCAGTTTCCTATCAAATTAAAATCTACACCTGCCATGTGAAATCACACTTATTATTCCAAAAGAAATGCAGACAAATATCCAAACAAAAATCTGAACACAAATGTTTATAGCAGCATTATTCGTAATTGCCCCACACTGAAAACAACCGAAATGTCCATCAACTGCTGAATGGATAAACAAACTGGTACATCCATACAATAGAATACAACTCGGTAGTTAAAAGGAACTAACCGCTGATGCGTGTTAACGACGTGGATGAATTTCAAATGTATTTTGTAAAGTGAAAAAAAAAAGCGCAATACCAAAGATTACAGACTGTATGATCCCATTTATATGACATTCTGGAAAAGGCAATAAAATAGGGGCAGAAACAAGACCAGTGGTGCCAGAGACTGGGAGTAGAGGGAGGGAACTGAAAGGGATAGAAATTCTTCATATATTGATTGTGGTACTGGTTACACACTGTATGTATCTGTCAAAACACAAATGACTGTATACCTATTAACAAAGAAATCTATGATATGTAAATTATACCTTAGTAAACCTAATTTAAAAATATTGTTTGTGAAAGCCAAAAAGATGAAAAAAAATTATATTAAGATAAAACTTAGCCGAGGAAGAAAACTAGAAATAGGTGTTCAAAAAAAGAAAGGATGTAAAATTTCAAATTGTAAAAGAAGAATTTGTCACATCATTTTAAAAGCTTGTTCACATATTTTTGAAAGAAAAATGATAAGTATCAAATCACTATAGTATTTAGATTCTACTGGATACATTTAAAAGTGATATAAGTTATATTTTTAAATGTCAATATTTATAATTCTCTGGAAGTCATATGCTTTGCAACCATTTAAACTTACTTTGAGAAGTTTTAGCTACCAATGTAAAAATGCACAAGGAAGTACACAGTTTTTAAGAATGCTTTTAGGAAACTACAAAGACCATTGCCCTAGCACACAGCTCCCCAAACTCTGCCACAGATACTTTACAGGCGTGGCAGAGTATTGAGCCCCAGAGTTTCTTGGTCAGGGGGGCAGTTTGCTTTCAGCCTAAAGGAACTTCTCTGTTTACCAACATGTGCTTTATAAACACTCTCATTGTCTATGGCTGAAATAAGGTGAAAAAAAATTGTAAAGCACTGTCCTCAAGAAATTCTTACACATATGTACAAACATAAAGTACAAGAAAACATTGCAGCAGCAATTGAAATAGTGAATAACAGAAAACAACTTAAACGTTCATCCACAGGCAACTAGATAAATAAAATGTAGAATTATCTTTCGATGCGATTTTACATAGCAATGAAAACTGAGAGCTAAATGACGATTCTCAAAAACTATTAAATTAGGTGGGAAAAAAATCAAGGTTCTGGTTATGAACAATACGATACCAAGTATAGAACACTTAAACATGCAAAACAAAATATTACATTGTTTATGAATAAATATCTGTGCAATCATATTAAAACATGCACAAGATTGATAAATACCAAAACATAGGTCATCATGGTTCTCTCCAGAGAAGAGAGGGTTAAGGAATCAGAGAAGGATACATAGGTGTTTTCAACGCTGCAGGTAATGTTTTAATTCTTTAAAAAACCAAAGTAAATATGGCAAATGTTAAGACAGAATAAAGCTAGGTAGTTGAAATGCGAGCATTACATTATATTACTATCCACACTTTTCTGTGTTTACAATATTTCCAATGGACACAGAAAGATGGAAGTATGTATTTGGTATCTTGAAATTTGGCAGGAGTCCTGGTTTATTGTAGATTTGATGGTTTATCGCAGATACACAATCCTCAGAGCCCAACGAATCAGAAGACTTAATCAAGCCTAGACATTAAATATACACATTATTAACTTTTTAGTTATTGCAACCTAAACCCAAGGTCAGTCTGGATATCCTCTTCAAGATTTAAGGAACCCAATGAACATTTGATTTGACAAAGATCATATCTAACGTAAATAACTTCTTTTTCTGGTAGTCTTTAATAAATTAATTCACTGAGTGATTCAACAAGAACTAAATGACCAGATGCTTTGTGCTCGCTCACCTGAACACCCAGAAGTAAGCAAGATAGAACAGACGTCAATGCTCTCATGGAGCTTTAGAGTTAGTTAAGTGTGAGAAATGGGCAATGAATAAACTAAGACAAAAGATCATGTCCGAGATTGGTAAGTGCTGCGAATGATATAAAACTGGGTACTAAAGATTTACTGTTGGGGGAGGGGAGATGCGATGAACTCACATTGGATAGGAAAGGCCTCTTTGATGATGCAATGTTTAAACAGGGAACCAAAAATGCAGAGACCAAGAATAGAAGATAGCAAATGTCTCAGACAACTAGATGTTCCGGACCCCTTAAGCATAATGATTAGATATAAGCTTTCCAAGCCTATAGAAATGCAAGGACATTTTTCATCAGGCAGTAGTTTGAAAGTTTTACAATTCTTTTTTTTTTTTTTTTAAAGTAAACTAAAAATAACTTGTTTCCTAGTCATGAACACTTAAATAAGTATCATACCTAAGTCATAAAGCATGTCTTCTTATATGGTATTTAAATAAAAGCAGTATTATGGTATTATACTGAAATAAAATAATGCTGAAAATAAAATAACAAAGACTTGTTAAGATATTTACTGAATGACACTGGCCAAAATCAATCTTTTTCTAACATATGTACCATCTATTAAGAAAAGACAACAGATTGTAAATATATTCTTGGGAACAGGTGTTATGGAATGAAGCAAGCAAGCTTAGGCAGGGATCAAAACAGGTGACTATGAACAGTAAAATAATATTAGAGTAAGACATTAAACATCTGTATCATATTTCAGCACATGTGTTAATACTCAAACTTTTCTCGAAGCTATAATGTATTTTCCTGGGAATGAACACAGTAAATGGTTGATCTCTCCATTTCAATCAGGAAAAAAAAAAAAAAATCTAAAGTACACCAGCAGAGAGGCAAGCTCTACCAGCTATATTAGTTATCATCTATATCCCAGATGGCCATCCAGGGGCACTTAAAGACCATTTCCTACGTCACTGTCCAATACACTGAGGCAGACAATATGGCTAACGTAATGAGGAGAGTTACAAGGGAGGAAATAAAACAGAAAATGCTGTCCTGTCTTTGTTTGTAAACCATGGTCCTGTGATACCCTCTGTGTTTGCAGTTCTAATTGCTCTATCTTAGAAGAGACCAAAAGAAGTTTCAGAAAAAATAGTGGAACTAAATTGTGGTCAAAGACCAGACAAGCCTTCTTGTAGGAAGATGGAAATAAACAATTCAGCTCCTCTAATCCAGAAACAGACAGGCTGGGAAAAGCCTGTGAGATCAGGAAAGGTTTGCATACAAAAATTAGAATGATTTTCCAAACTTGAAAATTATGAGCTATGAAACAACACTCAAGATTAGAAGAGGTTATATGAAGACAATTTCTTTTAATCACACTTCTATGGTAACGTATGAAAACATCCTATCCAAGAGGTGGGAAAAAATGAAAAAAAAAATATCAATAAAGCATTTGATAAATCATGGATTCTGAAGCCTGAGTTTGAATCTTGATTTACTATTAATTAGCTGTGCAATCTTGGACAAGTTTCTTAACCCCTCTGTGTCTCAGTTTGTCATTTATGAAATGATTATTGTGAGGATGAAATAAATAAAAAACAGTTCTTGCCATATAGTAAGTGCTTTAAAAACTTTAGCCATAATTCCATGTGTGGAAAAGAATCCACACCACAGCCCTGACAGCCATCCTGCTCACAAGGATGGTCCTTGGCTGGCATCTGAGAACTTGGTTTTCTGGAAGTTTCCCACTATTAACTCATAAGAATGGATCATTGTGCCTAAGACTGTGTAACATGATTTATGTGGCACCCCTGCTTCCCTTCTGGGAGTTTGGACTTTTGCTACGTGCCAGCAGAGACTGCCTACATGATCACACCACAAAAACCCTGGGCACCGAGTCTCTATTGAGCTTCCAGAGCTGGCAAGATCTCACATGGGTTGTCATAACTTGCCGCTGGAGGGATTAAGCACATCCCGTGTGACCTCCCCCACAGAGGGTCCCTGGAAGCTAGCACTGACTTCCCCGGGCCTGCGCCCCAGGAGCCTTTCCTTCTGCTAATTTTGCTTCGTTTCCTTTCACTATAACAAATCGCAGCCTTAAGTCCAATCATATGCTGAGTCCTTCCAGCAAATCGTCAAACCTGGTCATGGTCCCGGGGACACGACGACTCTTACACTGAAATATACTAATTTCATACTAGGTATAAATATAGTAACAGTGCATTTAAATAAATCTTGAAGTTCAAGAAAAGTGATTTTTAAATATAAGACCTCGATGAAAACAGAAAGCATTGTATTGTTGCTTCTCATAAATAACAGATGAAATAAAAAAGTTGAGATTCAATGGCATGTTCATTAAATTATATCACTATTTCCTGATAATATGCTTTTAAGGTGCATGAAAATAAATATTTAAATGATATTCAAGAGAAGAACAGTAAGTGGTTAGAAATACTTAGGCATGTCCTTCAAATAGCAATAGAAAATACAGCACAACCAAAATGCCAGAATCACTAAACTTTAGAAACGCATCACTAATTTTACATATTTTCCACATCGCTTACAAATGAGTGATTAGTCTTTACCAACACTTAATAAATCCAATGTTCTGCCCAATAAATCAATATCTGGAAAAAAGAGTTTAGAAAGAAAAGTTTGAGAGAAAAAATATTTAATAATTCATGTGAGTTTCTGTTTGGGGATGGTCAGATCGATTCCTCCACTGGGGACAAAAATGCTGGATAAGACACTAAAACAAAGCTACCTAAAAGCACTGAGTTAAAAAGATAGTGGGGCCAGACCATATTCTCGGGGTAGGGCAAACCCCAAGAGGTGAGACACTAACTGTTAGTGGGAAGTCGGCCACTTTTGCCCCGAGGGTGAGCGTCCATGTCTGCACTGGCGCATCAGTTGGTGGCTTCATAGGAGAAGGAGCCAGGAGTCAACATTCGGGGCTTGTCCAACACAGACCAGTGGGTGTGCAAACTAATACAAACGATTTAGAAATGTTATTTGGCGCTATCTAAGTAAACACTTGCATACATTATAAGCCAAGAATTCCACTCCTAAGTACATATCTATGAGAAAACACTTGTACACGTGTACCAGGAGTCACGATAAAAGACTGTTCATACAGTATTATCAGTAATAGCAAAAACAAATGGAATTGGGAAGAATAAAAACTAAATGCCCATCAACAGAATAATTTACGGTAACGTCATATAGTGAAATGTTATATACATTTAAAATGAGTAAATTATAATTATATACAAAACAGAGATAAATATGAGAAACATTGATTGAAAAAAAGTAAGTCACAAAAGACTACATACATTTGACACTCAATTTTATAGTTTTAAAATGAGAAAGGTGAAACGTTAGGGAAATACACAGGCGTGTGTGTGTGTTTGCATGTACTTGTGTGCGTATGTTTGCATGCATGTATGCACATATTTTTAAAGCAAGGAAACAATAATCACTGACTTCTGAATAGTGGTTCCTAAAGGAGAAAAGCAGGAAGACAGGATAGAGGAGCACGTGGGTACATGTGAGTTAATGGTGGTATTTTAATTCTTGGATTAAATGTACTCATTGTAATGTTAAACACACTAATAAATAAATGATAGCTATGCATGAAAAAATTCTATTTAAAAACTTAACTGCACACATTTACAAATTTACATCTTGCTACAATCTGATTCAAACTATTGCAGTATAGTTTTAATTTATGTAAACTGTTAATATGCCATTTTGGAATAATTTACCATAACATTTAACTTATTTATATAACCTGTTAGAAAGACTAGCATGTAAACACCAGTTGAAAATAAGGAAGGAAAATAGTATACATTACTACCATAAAGGTAATTTAAGGAAATATTGTAAATAGTTCCTTCAGTACTAAGAAACTAAAAAGATGCCAGCGACAAAAAGCCAAATGCACTGAGACCTGTCAGTCAAGGATATCTAGTTGTAAAATACACACCGTGATAAAAACAGAGGATGAAGCTATGCTTCTGTAATCCGTTTGCTATAGATCGAATGTTTGTGTTCCCTCAAAATTCATGTATTGAAATCTAACCCCCCAAATGATGGCATTTGGAAGGTGGAATCTTTGCAAGTTGCTTAGGTCACAAGAATGGATTATAAGGATTAGTGCCCTTATAAAAGGGACCCACAGAGCTCCCTGGTGTCTTCCACTATGCAAGGATACATCAAGAAGACAGCTGTCTGTGAACCAGGAAGCGGGTCCTCACCAGACATCTAGTCTGTCAGCACCTAGACCTTGGACTTCCCAGCCTCCAGGACTGTGAGAAATAAATTTCTGCTTCTTAAGCCACGGGGTCTATGGTACTTTGTTACGGCAGCCTGAATGGTCTAAGATGCCATTACCATGGAGAGCACACTGTGACAAGGCCGAGACCTGAATCCTAATCTTGATCTGTGCCGCCCATGTGTTTGACCTTGGGCAGGTCATTTAACCTCACATGTGTCACATGCGTAAAGTAAGAGACTGTACCAATTGCTCTTTAAGGATAGTCTTACTGGTGAAAGTCTATGACTCTGTAAGAAACTGTTCGTATCAAGAATTAGCAAAATCATTTAGTACTTAAGCCTTTCGATGATAATGTCCAGAAGCTCTGAGGAGAGAATGAAGTGGCAATACAACATTACCACGGAACTTGTTAAAATGAGAAAGTTTTATTAGACATAAAAGAGTTTCCAAGTGGTGGATAAATTTGCTTTTTGGTAGAT